GCCTGGTGCACAAAAATCATGCATGGTGGGCGAGTCTCTCAGTCTGGCCTGCATCCTCTCCAATCTGGGACCCCTCAGGGGATGTCCGACTGCCAGTTTAGGCCCAATCCCACAGTCTGACACCCTCTCGCAATCCGGGACCACTGGCTCCTAACCACTCACCTGCCTGCCTGCCTGATTGCCCGTAACCACTCTGCCTGCTGGCCTGATCACCCCTAACCACCCTCCCCTGCCGGCCTTATCACCCCTAACCGCCCTCTCCTACCGGCCTGATCGCCCCTAACTGCTCCCCTGCTGGCCTGATCACCCCTAACCACCTCTGCCTAGGCCCCTGCCACAGTGGCTTTGTCCAGGAGGAGGACTGGATGACCAAAAGATACCTGGTCTATCCAGTCTAATTAGCATATTACCCTTTTATTAGCATAGATCATATTTAGACTTGCAACAGTCCTGAGATAGATACCATTAGTGGTGGGCACTGAAATGTACTTCTTAGATCCCCTTCAGGAATGAAGGGCTTGTTACCCCCCAGCAGCCAAGAGTGTTGCCCACAGCCATCAGCTGTCAGCCCCCTTCTGGTATTGCATAGTCACCCTCTCCCAACGGGGCCTCATCCAATGACTAATCAACTCAGGGCTACAAATAGTATCTATCTCAGGATTGTTGGAAGGCCCAGCCTTCTCATCCCAACTTGAGACAATTCTTATGGATCATCCCATCTCCAGAACAACCTGTAACAGCTGAAGTATACCATTAAGACTGCATCCCAGCTCAACTTCTCCCTCTGCCCGATTCTTCCCTTCCTCACCAGTGATGACCCCAAGAGCCTTTCCTAATAAATTGCACACTAATCAAGTCTGCTTCCTGGGGAACCTAATCTGTGACATTATTCACATTTTTCTGATGAGAAAATAGCCTTAGAGAGGTTAAGATATTTGCCTAAGTCTGAACTGCAGAAAGTTCTATATAGAGAAGTATAAATAAGTATGATGGGAACAGGAAGGCTTGGGAAAGGCTTTTTATAAGGGTTGACATTTGAGTTGCAGCATAACTTTGAAAAGCAGAGAAAAAAGACCATTCTCAGCTGAGGGAATGAGAGTGTGTGGGAAGATGAGAGGACTACAAGTACCCCAAGTGACTGGGCCTAGGGTCTTTGCAGCAAGCCCTAAAGGGGTAAGGGGAAAAGACCAGTTCATTGATGGTAAAGAAGGTAGTCAAGGAGATAAAACTATAGGCCTGGGCGTAGGTCCCTAATGAATAGAAGGGGATAAGAGACCCCGAGATCTTCAGTTATCTAAGAGAGGGAAAGAGGAGCTTCCTTGTTCTTGGCAAAATGAACCACTGCCAATCTAGCAAAGGCCAGTCTCAAAGTATAATATATCCTTATGTGGCCTTTCTTATTTTCATCTAGGTTCACAGAATATTGAAGATAGACAAGACTTAAAATCATCAAATTCCGGGGTTTGTATGATATTTTCTGAAGCACTGGTATTCTGTTTACAGATGCAATCTTATACCAGAATCCAGTACGTAACCCAAATAAAAAATGACGTGGAATTGGGAAACTGCTGATATTTCCATCAGTTCCTTACCATGGCACATAAGGCATTGCCTCAAAACATGTTTAGAAAACCACTGATGTGGTTCATTCATTTATTTTTTCAATAAATAATGCCAGAAACTATAGTAGGGGCTGGAGATATAGTAGTGAACAAAGCAAGCATAGGCCCTATAATCTTACAGAGCCTGTAGTGTAGGGAGGGAGGCTGACTGACATTCAAGAAATAACAGATACATAGATTCAAACTGATAAGTACCATGAATGAAAAGTACAAGTTACTATGAGAATATGTCCATTATATTCAGAAGTACATGTCTAAGGTTTCTAGATAGAAGGAAAAGGGAGGCCTTCCTGAGGAGATAATATTTAGGCAAAGGGTGGGAAAAACATTCCACAGACAGCCCTGGCCAGGTAGCTCAGTTGCATTGTGATACGCCAAGTTTGTGGGTTTGATTCCTGGTCAGGGCACATGCAAGAAGCAATTAAGAATGCATAAAAAAGTGGAACAACAAATTGATGTTTCTCTCTTTCTCCCCTCTCCCTTCCTATCTCTAAAATCAATCAATCAATCAATAAAACTTAAAAACATTCCGTAGGCAGAGGAGTTGATGCAAAGCCCCTATGAGGATGAAACTTATTACTAATTTACTAATAAGTTACTAACACTAACAATACAACTACCAGAAAGAAGCCCCCACTTTTTCTATCAATATATAAAATCTGATGAAACAATGTATACTATTTCTCTCATAAGATATTTTCCATGTCATTAGTTTTTAAAAACTCCAAGAGATACTTATGTATCTTTACTGATCCATTTTTCTATTTGGGCTAGTCCCCTTTCATGCTATTATGAATGATTGGTTTGCTGAATGTCCTTGTGTCTAAATATGTGTCCAAATATTTTGGGGCTTGAATCTCTAAATCAATTAAGGTAGCTGATTGAATTTGTGGATAAATTAAAAGAGTCTAGGATTCCTGGAATCTAGGAGTCCCAGGAGATGGAGGTATCGTTGGTGACCACAGGAAATACTAAAGTCAGAGCAGATTGAGGGGGGAAAAGTGAGTTTGGTTAGGCCCATGGTCGGCAAACTGCAACTCGCGAGCCACATGCGGCTTTTTGGCCCCTTGAGTGTGGCTCTTCCACAAAATACCACATTCGGGCACACGTACAGTGCAATTGAAACTTCGTGGCCCATGCACAGAAGTCGGTTTTCAGCCTGGGCGAGCCTATTTTGAAGAAGTAGTGTTGATATTTGGCTCTGTTGACTAATGAATTTGCCGACCACTGGTAGGCTATGCTGTAAGAAGTTAATTCATACATCCAAATGAAGCCCAGGACTCATTTGAATATCTATGTCTGGGATGCAGGCTCTAGGGCTAAGCTGGAGGTACAGGTTTGTGAGTTTTTAACATACAAGTAATAATTGGAACCTGGGTTTAGATTAGGTTATCCAGGGATGCACAGAGTGAAAAGAGCTGAAAATGAACAAAACCCTGAGACACTGAAATTTGGAGGCAAGGAAAAAAGTGACAACTATAGAGAAACAAGAGGCTACAATAGTAAAAGAAAAACTGGGGTAGAATTGTACTAACAAAAACCAGGGATGAGAAAATTTGAAAGAGGAAGTCATCAACATTAATTTATTGGACAAACTTACCAGATACCTATTTTGTGCCACACACCATGTTAAGCATTGGGGTGAACAAGACAAATCCTTTTGGAGCTTACTGTCTGGTGGGGAAGACATTGTTGTTCACTACTGAAAAGGTCAATATACTTGGCATATTTTAAAAATTATACCTTGTTTATTTCTAAAACACATATGTGGCTTAGGGAAAAAATAGTATAATAGGGTAAATGAAATTTAAAATAATTAAAATGGGAAAATTCAGGCAAAAGGAAAATAGAAGCAAGAAAAATAATGCACAATAATACATGTTCTAAGGTCCTGAACACTTGCTTCAAGCTTTCTGGCAGATGTAACAAGGAAAAACAAGATCAGTTATGACAGGCTGAGTATACTTGGGATAACAAACCAGTTGCTCAGAGGAGGCATTACTATTCCTAGTGCTAAAACCACATACATTTTCCCAATGGTTTCTCAAAATGAGATCATGAATATAATGAACAGTGTTCTCAACAGCATCCTTATAGTAGGTCTGACAATTTTATGGGACTTTATTATATCTTGCATTCTAGACTCAAGGAAGTTCTCTAGGCTTGGAAGAGGTGAAAAGCATAGCCCAGGTAAGAAACTCTCTTATAAGCCTAATTTAGTACAAGAAAAGATTTACATTTAAAATGATGAATAAATTATACGTTCTTCAGATGATCCTCCATTCTTTCATGATACTCCATTCATTTAGTTGATACAGTCTCTCACTGATCTCAACCCTCAGGGGCATCAAGTTAGTACTGGTTTCAACATTTACCACATCACAAGTCCAAAACCATTTTCCTCTTTTTCCACAATTCATTCACAGCAGGAGTGGGGAACCTTTTTTCTGCCAAGGGCCATTTGGATATTTAGAACATCATTTATAGGCCATACAAAATTATCAACTTAAAAATTAGCCTGCTATATTTGGTCAAACATTTAATTAACTCACCTCTAATGCCTTGGCAGGGCCAGACAAAATTATTTCGCAGCCATATACAGCCCATGGGCTAGACATTCCCCACCCCTGCTTTACAGGGTAAAGAACATTTTGAAAAAGTCCCTCAAAATGAATGCTAGAATTAGAAAATCACCATTTTGCAACCTGTAATGAAATAATTGATTTAGGCAATAATCATCAGTAGATAAAACTATTAGTTGAAAAAATCAGTAACTTTATAATGGAAGAATTAGGCCCTCACCATCTGAACCCATTAATCAATCTTTGTGTCATTAAAAGTAGGGCAACCAGATACTGTGTGGCACTCTCCTGCTTCCTTCCGTGTGCTTTCCCAGGCTACTTAAATGTGGTAGTTGGTTATATAGGTGTCTCCCAGTGAACTATTCCTTCTCGTATTCCAGCCCTCGTGTAGTTCCCTCCCAATAAAAGAAGGCAGAAATGACACTGTACAAGTTTCAGTCCTAACACTTTAAAAGCCTGCAGCATTTTCTTTCAACCTTTTGGAACCCAGCTGCATACAGTAAGGAAGGTCAGGCTATCCTAGAGAGAGAACGAACTGGGAGAGGCCCTGAAGGATGAGACCTTGTAGAGAGAGAGTCATGAATGGTGATATATGTAGTGCCTCAGCCAATAGTCAGCACCAAGCCAGTTATGTTAAAAAAAACTTCCTGGACATTCCAGCACAGCCTAAGGGCCAGTTCAGTGCAACCTCATGAGTGACTCTAGACAACACAACATGAAGCAGAAGAACCATCCAGACAACCCATAAAATTATGAAAATAAATTGTTTTAAACCAATAAGTTTTTAAAAAATTTTACTGATTTTGGAGAGAGAGGAAGGGAGAGGGAGGTAAACATTGATAGGCACAGAGACACATTGACCAGGGCTATCAGTAAGTTGGGAGGTGCTTTGGTACGCTACAAAATATAGTCCTCAGTAGCATCATGACTTTACAGTTAGATAACTGCACCTGCTCCCATACTCATGAACAATCTCACTTCAATGTCCATAGGTCCTGTAGCAGAAGTTCACCTTGGTGAGAGACAGAGAACTGAAGGAACTTAAACCCAAAAGGGCTCATCTGATAAACCTATACCTGTATAGTTGCTCTCATAAGTAACTATGCCTCCATAATTTTGCCAAACATAATTTTTCAGACATGAATTATTGAAGTCATGATCTACTTAGCACTTTAAGCCATATAGGGGGATGGACTGATATCCTGGTATCCATTGGTGATATGTAAAGCACTGTAGGACTATGCATCTGGCCGGGCACATTATCTGCACCAAAAATTGGGGAATAGTGATACTGTACATTTACTATGTACTTTGTATCTTTAAAGTATTTGGTTTCAGAACAATTCAAGGAGGGGCTCATTATGCAGATGAAGAAACTGAGGTCAGAGAACTTGCCAAGGTCACACAGATAGTGAGGGGCAGAGCCAGTATTCAAATGTAAGCAATTTTTTTGTTGTTGTTAGGTAAGCTCTTTAATTACTTTAAAAGTAAATGTAATTAAGCTTTATAAATTATAGTTGGAAAAGGTGGAGCATAATTCAATGGTTCTAGGTGCACTGACACTGGCTCCTCTCATTCAATCCAGCTGGCTTCCACAGGGTTCTGGGAGGAGTGGCTCTGTAAGACATGCTGGTTGGCTCACTTGATCCAGGCAAAGTATGTTTTCCTTTCAGATTTCCTGGTGCCTCCAGGGCAGTACCGGGAAGATGACAGTCCAGAGGGAGATGAAGCATCAGATAGGCGCCTGCTAGTCACACTTTCTGCCTATGGCATCCAAATTGGAAAGGAGAAAGTAAAACTCATTATTCACAGATCACATAATATTATACATAGAAAATCCTAAAGATTCCTCCAAAAACTCCTAGATCTAATAAATGAATTCTGCAAGGTAGCGGGATATAAAATTTAATAATCAGAAATTGGTAGAATTTTTATGCACCAATAATGAACTGTCAGAATGAGAAATTAAGAAAAGAATTCCATTTGCTATTACAATGAGAAAATAAGGTACTTAGGAATAAATTTAACTAAAGAGGTATAAAACCTGTACTTGGAAAATTATAGAATGTTGAAGAAAGAAATTGAGGAAGATACAAAAAAAGTGGAAAGCATATGCTGCGTTCATGGACTGAGGAATTAACATTATTAAAATGTCCATACTGCCAAAACCGGTTTGGCTCAGTGGATGGAGCATCGGCCTGCGGACTGAAGGGTCCCAGGTTTGATTCCGGTCAAGGGCATGTACCTTGGTTGCGGGCACACCCCCAGTGGGAGATGTGCAGGAGGCAGCTGATCGATGTTTCTCTCTCATCGATGTTTTTAACTCTCTATCTCTCTCCCTTCCTCTCTGTAAAAAATCAATAAAATATATTTTAAAAAAAATAAAAATAAAATGTCCGTACTACTCAGAGCAATATATAAATTAAATACAGTTCCTACTAAAATACCAATGGCATATTTCACAGATCTAGAACAAATACTTCAAAAACTTATATGGAACCTAAAAGACCCTGAGTAGCTGCAGCAATCTTGAGAAAGGACAAAGCTGGAGGGATCACAAAACCTGATATCCAACTATACTACACGTAATCAAAACAGCCTGGGACTGGCATAAGAACATATCGATCAGAGGAACAGAACAGAGAGCCCAGAAATCAACCTATGCTCTTATGATCAATTAATATTTGACAGGAGGCAAGAGCATACAATGGAGTAAAGACAGTCTCTTCAATAAATGCTGTTGGGAAAATTGGACACGTGCAAGCAAAAAAAAAAAAAACTACACTACCAACTAACACCTATACATAAGAATAAACTAAAAATGAATAAAAGAATTAAATGTAAGTCTATGAGTCTATCATCTTTGCATCTACCTCAAATGCCAAAGCAGTCCCCTCATTGTGCCTGATGGTAGCTCAATAGGTTACTCCAGTTAGGATTTTTCTCTAAGCCCTTTTAACCTCACTTTAAAAACTCTTATTAATGAAACTGGCACACCGGTCCTGAGCTGTTCAGAGCCTCCCTCGCTAAGATCAAAAGGGCTTTCCGGTCGAGACTCCGCCTTAGTCTCCCGGGTCCCCAGACTTGCAGGTGACAGAACCGAGTCCCGGGGGTTATGAACTGGCCACAGTCTCAGCATGGTCAGTGGGGAGAAGACGCCATTCGGGTCTAGATTCAGGCTGTCTACTAGGCCAGCCCGGGAACCGGTCTCAGCGGCCCGTTCCCCTCCCTCGGAAGCTTTTTTTTTTTTTTTTTTTTTGGAAATTTTTATTTAAATGTCTTATGTTCCCTTTTAACCAACACCAAAAAGAGAAAACGTTTTTTTTACCGTTCCAAACAGAGAGTCACTTCAGAGAGGAGCTGGCTCCAGATTGGGAGGCCTTCCTCTGGTGCATCCGCAGGTGGCGGTGGTAGGTGGAGGACTGGCGGTAGGTCCTCCCGCACTGAGCGCACGCGTAGGGCTTGGCGCCCGTGTGGATGCGCTCGTGCGCCCGCAGGTTGGTCTGGTGGCTGAAGGCGCGGTCGCACCGGCTGCAGCGGAAGGGCTTCTCCTCCGCGTGGATCAGCGCGTGCACGCGCAGGTCCGAGGCCTGGAAGAAGCCTTTGCCGCACGTGGCGCAAACGAAGGGCCGCTCGTTGTTGTGCCTCCTCTGGTGCAGCTGGAACCGACAGAGGTACTCGAAGACCTTTGGACACCGGTCGCACCGGTACAGCTTCCGGGCGCCCCCCGCCTCCCGGGGGGCCTCCTCTCGGGGAGGCTCTTCCTGGGCAGTGGGGGCGCCCGGACTTGCTGAACCGAAGCTGCGTGGACTCTCCCCGGACACCTTGCCCTCTGCGGGCCTCTGAGGACTCTCTTCCTCCAGGATGAGCCTAAAGGGGGGTTGGCGGTCTGGACTGGAAAGGTTGTCGCCATCTGCATCTGCATCTCCTGGTGCTGCTGGTGGGGGTGTCTCTGGGGGAGTCGGAAAGGGTGTCCCCGGGGTGAGCGCCGTGGCGGCTGCTGCTGAGCGCTGCTCCTGGAGATGGGCCAGGATCTGTCCCGTGGGCATGTTCTCCGAGAACAGGGCTTCCTGCTCCCCCATGCTGACATGGACCAAGCTGGGGGGCCTCAGGTCCTCATCCCCCAGGTGCTCCATGAACGCCTCCAGGTCTCTGCCACTCGACTCCCACTTCTCCCGCCATGCGGCCCTCTCGCTGCTGGGCCTGTTGAGCAGGAACTGCTCCACTGACAGTTGGACAATCATCTGCTGCTTACTGTGCGTGTCTGGCTGCAGCCACGAGCGGAAAGACCGCAAGATGCCCTGCAGCTCCGCCTTCCCAAGCCCGCGGCTGCCCTTGTTCAATGAGATGAGTCCAGGGCTGGGGAAGCCGACTTTCTCCGCCTCCTCTCCTTCCTGGTTTATGGGTCCTCCGCGAGATCTAAACTTGAAGTTTTCTGCCCGGGGACCGTTCCTGGCTGGTTCGTCTTGAGATGCCATTCTCCTCACGGACACGGACGTTCACGCTAGATGATCCTGGCCCAATGCTGAGCTGCTGTGGGGCTTGGCTGTCAGCGATGTGCTCTGATGTGCTTCCCAAGGCTCCTCCTTTTATAGGTCCGGTGTCGGCAATGAGATTAAAGCCTCCTCACCGACACAGACGTTCACGCTGGGTGATCCTGATCCAACGCTGAGCTGCTGTGGGGCTTGGCTGTCAGCGATGTGCTCTGATGTGCTTCCCAAGGCTCCTCCTTTTATAGGTCCGGTGTCGGCAATGAGATTAAAGCCTCCTCACGGACACAGACTTTCACGCTGGGTGATCCTGGTCCAACGCTGAGCTGCTGTGTGGCTTGGCTGTCAGCGCTGGTGGCGCTGATGTGCTTCCCTGTTGGGGTCCAGCCCCAGCAGGTCCAGGGGTTCCCAAAGGTGTGGACGGAGTCGGTGAAGAAGGAATGACACAAACACAGCGTTCAGTTGATCAGCAGCCTAGTCAGGTTCTCTAGCCAGGTTCTAGCCAGGATCTCCAGCCAGGTTCTGTGTCCAAATGTAAGCAATTTAACTGTAGTAGATTGATTGCATTAATGGCCTTAATTGTTCACATTTTTGTAGCCACAATTTCTGCCATGTGACTTGCACTCTTCTCATTAAAAGTAGAATCTAGCCCAGCCTAGTGTGGCTCAGTTGGTTGAGGGTTCTCCCATGCATCAAGAAGTCACCTCGATTCCCCATCAGGGCACATGCCTGGGTTGCTTGCTCGATTCCCAGTAGGGGGCATGCAGGAGGAAGCCAATGGATAATTTTCTCTCACTGATGTTTCTATTCCTCTCATCCTCTCCCTTCCTCTTTCTATGAAATCAATAAAAACCTTTCTATTAAAATGTGGAGTCTAAAGGCCCCCTCCCCCCTTTCTGAGTTCCACCTTATGTAACTTGCTTTGGCCAGTGAAAATTAGCAGATAGAACACATGCAGATGTGAAAACAACTTGCTCCTCTTCCATGACCAAGAGAACATGCCTGGATTAGCCTGCTGAAGAACACAAGAAACAGTTGATTTGCTCCAGTCATCTCAGAAGAAGTTAGCCTAGATCAGCTCAACCCAAGACAAAGGGTGAGCCCAGCCAAAGTCAGAAGACCTGCCTAGCCAACCCACAACTGATTGCATATAAGTCCAGGAGATCAGCCATGACCTGAATAGCAAAACTCCACAGACTTGTAAAATAAATAAATGCCCTTGTATACCCATGAGGGGGGTATTTCGGTTGTTACATGGTCTAATTATAGCAAAAGTAACTGATATACTGGTTCTGGAGTCCATACTCCTCATAACTATATTGCTTTTCAAAGGGTTGTGACTAGATATATTCAGCAGAGTTAGGAATTTGAGACTAGAGTTTGGAAGAGACCTTATGGGTAGTGAAATATCCTTGAGAATCATTTTAAAAGAAGTGACAGTTGAGCCGTAACCGGTTTGGCTCAGTGGATAGAGCGTCGGCCTGTGGACTGATGGGTCCCAGGTTCGATTCCGGTCAAGGGCATGTACCTTGGTTGCGGGCATATCCCCAGTAGGGGGTGTGAAGGAGGCAGCTGATTGATGTTTCTAACTCTCTATCCCTCTTCCTTCCTCTCTGTAAAAAAATCAATAAAATATTAAAAAAAAAAAAAGAAAAGAAGTGACAGTTGAAAGAAAGGCAGTGAAGGAGCTCCCTAATTGAGACTATGTACAGGGGAGGGCAAAAGCAGGTTTACAGTTGTGAATACAAGGAATATATAGTTTAGTCTCTTATTATTATTTATTATTGTATTACAGTGGAACCTTGTTTCTCAAACTTAATTCATTCTGGAAGGCTGTTTGAGAAGCAATTTGTTAAAAAAAAATGAATCATTTTTTCCCCAAAAGAAATAATGTAAATTGAATTAATCCATTCCAGATCCCCAATAATTCTGTTTTAACCTTTCTTATATACAATTTATGTCTAATGTACTGTTTAATTTATAAATACTTTTCTTACATTTATTAAACCACCCCCTACTGCCTTATACAAATTTTTCATGTATCACTGCCTCAGAAATGCTATAACTGCTTTTCTTTTTTTTCCAATGGTTCTCAACCTTGGCTGCACATTAGAATCACCTGGGAATCTTTTTAAAATCCTGACTTATGGGCCCATTCTCCCGGAAATCTGTTTCTTGTTATGGGGTGGGGCCACAACATTAGTAACAAAGAAACAGAATTTCCGGAGGATGAGGCAGAAACCAGGATTTTAAAAAGATTCCCAGGTGATTCTAATGTGCAGCCAAGGTTGAGAACCACTGATTTATCCAATCAAGTTTTTCTACATATTCAATTGCCTGTGATTGTTTTGTAAGCACTTTCACACCCTTAGCAATATTAGCACTCCATGGCCTCTTCAGTTTTAAAATTGTACTAATCCTCGATTTTACCAGCAACAAAAGCATTCTCTCCTTTCTTTGTTGCCTAAGAGACCCTTTTGTGTCTTGGTGAGGTATCAACAAGAAAGGGTTGTCAGGTTGAAAACTGAAGTTTTGGTCGAAAACCAAGACTATTTTTTCTGTGAACAACTTGGTCGAGAACAACTTGGTTGAGATGAGACACACTTGAGAACCGAGGTTTATTTGTATCACAACTGTAATCTACTTTGCTCACCCCTGTATTTACAAACGTAGAGTGATAGGCCTGGCCAGCGTGACTCAGTGCTTGAGCATCGACCTGTGAACCAGGAGGTCATAGTTAGGTTCTCGGCCAGGACACATGCCTGGGTTGTGGGCTCAATCCCTAGTGTAGGTTGTGTGGGAGGCAGCCGATCGGTGATTCTCATGTTTCTCTCTCTCCCTCTCCTTTCCTCTCTGATAAATATGTTAAGAAAAAAAAGTAGCGTGTTGGGATTTATCATTCAACATCCAGAATAAGAGGTAAAAAGAGAAGACACAGCCCTAAATTGTTTGGCTAAATGGATAGAGCGTCTGCCTGCGGACTGAAGGGTCCCAGTTTCGATTCCGGTCAAGGGCATATACCTTGGTTGCAGGCACATCCCCAGTAGGGAGTGTGCAGGAGGCAGCTAAATTGATGTTTCTCTCTCATCAATGTTTCTAACTCTCTATCCCTCTCCCTTTCTCTCTGTAAAAAATCAATAAAATATATTTTTTTTTTTTAAAAAAAAGAGAAGACACAGTAGGCAGATATGCAGGGAGGGGGCGTGGTCAGGGGTGAGGGAGTTGATAAAATGCAGCACCATGCCAGTTTAGAAAGGAAGATTCAGGATATAGTTATCACTGAGAAACATGGGCTTTGGAATTAGACACATCTAGATCTGACTTTTGACACTTAATGTACTTACACATTAATCTGTAAACATGTTTAGGCTAGTGCCTGACAGTTGCTAAGAACTTAATATTAGCCCTGGCCAGTATGGCTTGGTTGGTGTCATTACATGCACCAAAAGTTTGCTGATTTGGGTTTGATTTCTAGTCAGGGGAAATGCTCAGGTTGCAGGTTTGATCCCCAGTTGGTGGTGTGCAATAGGCAGCTGATGGATGTTATGATATCATATCGATATCTCTCTCTCTCTCCCTCTCCCCCCTTCATCTCTCTCTAAAATTCAATTTTAAAAAATCTTAAAAGCCGAAACCGGTTTGGCTCAGTGGATAGAGCGTCGGCCTGCGGACTGAAGGGTCCCAGGTTCAATTTCGGTCAAGGGCATGTACCTTGGTTGCGGGCACGTCCCCAGTGGGGGGTGTGCAGGAGGCAGCTGATTGATGTTTCTCTCTCATCGACGTTTCTGACTCTCTATCTCTCTCCCTTCCTCTCTGTAAAAAATCAATAAAATATTTTTAAAAAAATCTTAAAAACACCTAACAAAAAGAGAAAAACTCAACATAAGTAGTGAATAGCAGTGGTTGTGTTATTACAACAGTTTTGAACAATAACCTATTTTCCCCCTAGAGAAATATTTCTAATTCCCTCACCACAGTCCTTCAAAATGGTAACAAGTATATTCAAACTAATCACTTTCCTTTAAGAGTTAGGGGAGTAGTTTTGAAACCCAAGGAAATTGCCTCTTTCTGATATAACCTATCTACACTAATAAAAGAGAAACATGGTAATTAGCGTACGACTGCTACCCTTTTCATTGGCTAATCAGTGAGTATATGCAAATTAACTGTCACCAAGATGGCGGCCAGCAGCCAGGCAGCTTGAAGCGAGCATGAGGGTTGCTTCCTTCAATGACAGAGGACTCCAACATTCCCCGCCTTCCTTGCCGGCCTCTGAGCTTCAGTTGGAAACATTGTAACATTTATAGAAGATAAACAAAACCCCAGAAACCTCCTGTCAGTCAGCCG